AATTTTTAATTTTTTTCGTCGCGCTGTGATGACGTCACGTACGCGCTTCCGTCGAGCGCGCTTTTGTCTACCGCGGTTTTGTGGTGGAACCGATGCTTACATTGTGCTGCTTTGTGAGATAGAAAAGGCTGTGCTATGAGATCTCCTTAAGTGGTTAAATCATTAAACTATCCATGTGTTAATATTAACCAAGTGTAAATATGGAAAAGGAAGGAAAGTGGTGGAGAAAGATATCTGGATAGATCTGGGCATGGAGGAAATCAGAAGGGAGTTATTGATTTATTACAGACTACCTTTAGTAATACTTGGGGGCTGCATCTCATGGAGTGGAACTAGTTGGAAATAATTAGATCCGGAACAAATTTACTTTAAAACTATCAGTTTTTCTATGTCCTCTGAAAAAAGAAGAAAATAAACAGGTAACCTAGTTTAAATGCAAAGTCCGTAAGCGTTCGTTAGATTCCATCATTCGTACTCAGCCTTTGTGAATATAAATGGGTGGTTCCGCGAAATGCTTTGCGGATTTGGGCCACATTCTGCTTATCTTGGTAGCTCTAAAACGCAGGCTGGCTCAGAATTTCTGGTTGTACCTTAAATAAACAGCCACCATCACACATACCACCCACCTACCCCCACATTATTTTTGTCCCAACCGCGCCGTCTCTTCGGAGCTCTTCAATTGTTTGCAGGTTGAATAGGTGGAGCCGAGGCTGTGCGGGCTCCGCCTTGTCTAGCCCTCTGCAGCTTTCCCAATCTCTCCAGCAGCTGGCCCACGATTGCCGCCCTCGCTGCAGTGCTAGTCGCTTTTAGGCGCAGCGGTTGTTTCGTTTTGCGTTAGGCTGCCGCATTTTTCTTTTCCTTCCTCTGTGGTCATTGAATCAAAGATATTAGGCGATGAAGGAACAATCGAAAGGGTAAGTTTAATGTTTATATCTCCCGAATAAATAACCCGTCAAGTGGTAAAAGTCATTAGGCAAGCAAAGCAGTTAAAGCTTCATTAAACTTCCGTCTTTATATAGGGAATTTAATTTACAGCTTGAAAGTCTTTCCTGCCAATTGTTTTTCTTTGATTCATGGTGCAAGTATGCTTATTGATTGGCACACGCCTAAATTAACCCTTTCATTTAAGGCTGTATACCTTAAAGATTAAAGGTTTCTTCCAATACAGGAACGCCGGGATTTTTTTAAAAAAAATTATCCCTATTTTGTTTGTGTGTGTTTATGTATATGTATAATAATTTTCCCGAGCTCAATCCGAATTCTTACTTCTCTGCCATACTGTGGATTTTATGTTCTTAAGTCTTATATTTTTTAACCTTGCTTTTTGTAAACTCTTTTCAAACATGATGTATGTATTGTGTATCTCCATGCGTTAAAATAATCCCCGCCCCCACCTCCGAGAAACCATCCTGTTCAATCTCATTTGTGCAAAGACCCTGGAGAAAAAAACACATACTATGCCTTTCATTCACTATGGAAAGGTCACATTTCTGCTTGATTTCTTTGGGGAATAGGAACTGACATTTAATTCAGTGCATTCTTTCTCTGCAATGTGCTTCCCTTGTCTTGATAAATGTGGTCTAGTTAGAACATGCTGGCTGTATAGGAATGAATGAAACAATGCAGGTTGGAAGAGTTGAGCAGGGAATTGGAAAACAGGAAGCAAGTTGGTATCGAATGTTTGTCAAATGTGCCATTGGAGAAAGCAGTTAGCTATTCTCAGAGTGCATAAAATAAAATGTTGCACAACAAATGAAGGGCAGAAATAATTACCATATTATAAGAAGCTGATAGTTGTTCTCCTCTGTTTCTACTTGATGCTAGTGTAAAAATTTTTTAAATGTATTCTGATCTAGAGTTGGAATTCCAGGAATCCTAGATAAAGCTTACTCCAAAAATTAAAATTAAATAATTTCAGTGTGTATATGTGTAATCCTTCTCAAGTGCAAAAAAATGCTTTCTCCATTACTACTTCCATTTTCTCCAGTAATACAATGGAATATATAGAAAAGCAGATTTTCAGTTTCTGCTTCCAAAATAAACTATTAAAGTATCTTTACTAGAGGCTTTCTAAGTATGTTGGATGCCATTCTTTAGTTTTCTGTTCACTCAAGCCTTCTCAATATCTCAATTTCAATTTAATTTTGGGATGGTATGAATTTTATCTTTAATAATTTTTGTTTATGACTGCGAAAGATTTGTTTTTAAATGGTTTTCTGCTTATGGTAAAACTGCACAAGTTCTCTTTATATTAATATATGTTCCTGCTTAATTTACATCAGAGACAATATAACATATTAAACTAAAACAGTTGTAGCAGCTGTACAGTTTAAATCACTTTAATTATGCATTGTAAAATTATTCCTTAATTTTTAAATTATTATTAGATAGGTATTGTCGGTTGCCCTCTCACAACATTATCTTATTTGCAGTTTTATGTGTTCAATTTTACTGCCCTTTTATCACATGGATTTGGGAGTGGAGGACACAATTTACGCCAAGGCTATGGCAAATAAAATACAATCTACAGGGTGAATTTATTGTGGCTTGCTTATTTTTCAATTTCATTTTCAGCTTCTTAGAAGAAACGTGTGTGTGTGTGTGTGTGTATGTATGTATGTATGTATAGATGAATAGTTTACTTTGAAGAATATAGATTAGTCTTGAGTTAATGTATTTTAAAGCAAATCATAATAAAGAATGTGCAGTAAAGAAAATTAAATTGAAAGGGTATAATGGGATTCAATTAAAAAGAAAACACTAAGAATATATTTAATATTTTCTCATAAAATGTTTAATTTTTAAAAGACCTATCTGTAATTTTTCTATAGAAATAATTACTAATGTAGTTTGACACAATACTTTTTTGTTTGTTTTAAATTGTGCCTTTATCAACTGAAATTAGGTCATCTTGCAGAGTCTATATTGTGAGTGCCAATAAAATTTAAATTATATTCCTGGGTAATTGATCATAAATTAATGCTCTGTGAAATTATATTTTTCTCTGATTTTATATGAGGAACCTGATTTTGAATAGCCAAGTTGGCCAGTTGATAATTAAGAATGAAGGAAGAATCTTCATCTGCCACAATTTTTCTGGACATGTTGATTATTACTTTATATGCTATGTATTAGTAGTTACCCAGATTATTTCACCCTTTTCTTTTTCCTTTTAGTGTTTTGGCTAAGTGCAGAAAAGTGTAACAGAATGTATTTTTTTCTTAAATCAGACCATTTGTCTATATAACTCTACACTGAAGTATGTTAAACTAAGGGAGGGGGAGCATTTTCCTACTGTTGGATAAAGGGAAAGATATGATCTGATGATATATCACACCTTACATTTTGGAATTCTCAATTTGCTTCAGAACATTTGAGCAGATTGGTGGTTTTCCTAAAGTAGAGATGGATTGGTTTGAGCAAACACCAATTTTCTTCCACTATCCTTTAATTGTTTTCACCTAAGAATTTATCCTTTCTATTCCTATGCTTTAAAATACAGAAATCAGATTAATGAAATATTAACTTATTAAAGTAGTGAAATATTTGAAAATAGTAAAACCTATTTGAATAAATATCTATTTAATTAAAACAAAGTACTTAATGTATGTGTCAAGGTTCCAAGTAACACTCCCAA